ATAAACAGTATTTTTAGACGGAGGCACGAAAAGCTCCATATTTATTTTTAAGTCGAAGAAGGTAGTTAATAAAAAAAAAAGTCAGTGTTTCTCAAATTATGGGTTTGATTCCTGTGCCTAAAAATTCTTCACTGTTAGATTTAGACTTCCTGCAGAATTAACAAAAGAGAGTCTAAAGTTATTCCTTATTAAAGTAAAGACTTGGAGCGAACAATCTAGAAATAAGATGGAGCTCTTGAAGTTGAGAAGTTGGGTCACTTCCTTACACGAATACAGAAGTGACAGTACATGCCAATCATATCAGTTGATAGCCTAAAACTGGCAGCTTTTTTATGATCTACTTATGTAGATATTATTCATCAATGGTCCAGTTATGAGGTTTTTAAATTATTCTATTTTAATCATGAGTGTGTGTGTGTGTGTGTGTGTAGCAGACATGTGTGTGTGCCCATGGGAGGCCAGAGGGCATTGGATCCTTTGATGATGCAGTTAGAGAAGGTTGTGAGCCATCCATGTGGGTACTAGGAACATAACTTGGGTCCTCTGGAAGAGCAGGCAGCCCTCTTAACCATAGCACCATCTCTTAGGCCTTATGACAAGGTTTTATATGAAAGTACAGATGATCCTGGAACTATAGAGATAACTCCAATAAAATATTAATACATGTCACATTTTTAGTTTTGCAATCTACTTTCTAAATTACAGAGGTTACTATAAATTGTTCTGGGGGCAGGGAGCCAGGAGGTGGCTCAGTGCGTAAAAGTGCTTGTTGAACAAGCAAGACAACTTAACTTTGAATACCTAGCGTTCATTCATATTTTTTTCTTTTTTTAATTGGATATTATATTTACATTTCAGATGTTATCCCCTTACCCCTCATTCATATTTTTTGTTTTAAAAAAATAAGCCACATGTGTGTGGCCCCAAGCACTTTGTTGCACATTCTGACCACCAACATAGCTCCAGGCTCAGTGAGACTTTGTCTCAAAGGGATACAGTAGAGAATGACAGAACAGGAACCCTGATGTCTTCCTTTGCCCGCACGATCCACATAGCCACATGCACACAAATATTTTCTGTCTCGGAAGCTACCATGCAAACATTCCGTAGGACAGCCAGGATCACTCCGTATCTTCTCATCTGACTATGAATACTTGTGACCAGAACCGTTCTCCAGTGTAACTGGGCCTCTACTGTCCTTGATGCTAGACAATTGAAAATCTCTCACAGAGCATGAAATGCTGGAGAATGGAAATGAGCCAAAAACATATAACTACATCCATCTACCTAAGCCTGGCTTTTCATTGCAATTGGTTTTCTTTTCTACACAACTAACAGTTATCCATGGAGAATATAGTCAAGACCCCTAAGTAAGTTCCTGGAGGAACAGATAGACTAATCCTGTGCTTATACTACATCTTTTTTTAAACACGTATTTCTGTGATTAAAAATAGTATACATGTTAAGTATCCTGAGAGATTAACAATCAATAACTGATCATCAAATAAGTTCCCATGTGTGCCTCTCCCACTCTCTTAACTCTATAATACTACTGTATTACTGAGCCATCTTTGACCACAAGTAACTAGAACCTCGGAAAGCAAAAACCTCAGATAAAGGGAGACTGCTCTATTACAAACTTTACACCAGTAAGATGAAACACAATGCAAACTGGGGTTTCCCTCAGTATCATGGATAGTTAATTTTCTCCCTTTCCACATTTATTTATTGTTTATGGAGGTCAGAGGTCAACTTGCAGGGCTCAGTTCTCTCCTTCCATCATGTGGGTTCCAGGGATCGAACTTGGATCTTCAAGCACAGTGGTTGGACACCTTTATCCACTGAGCCATCTGGCCAGCCCAGGGTATCTTTGTTTACCCAGTAAAACATTATGTATGATAGTGCACTTTGCTTTCGTTTCTTCTCACCACAGTAAACCAGAAAAGCTGTCAAAGAGTTAGCTTTGTCAAGAACCGGCTTGTGGGGAAGGAACGCCTGCGATCAGAGAGAATGCAACCTACATCGCCCTACAGCTCCGGTTGGGCTGGCTCCTTAGCTCTGGGCTCACACTTCCTCTCTGTGGTGTTTCTAAGCTGTAGAGTTCACTTTCCTCTCCAGCATCCCATGACTTAAGAACATGCATTCCGGGCTGGAGAGATGGCTCAGTGGTTAAGAGCACTGACTGCTCTTCCAAAGGTCCTGAGTTCAATTCCCAGCAACCACATGGTGGCTCACAACCATCTGTGATGGAGTCCAATGCCCTCTTCTGGTGTGTCTGAAGAGAGTGACAGTGTACACATATATATAAAATAAATAAATAAATCTTTAAAAAAAAAAACAAACACGCATTCCTGAGATGCTTCCACTTTCTGGCTCTAAGTGAGAGGTGCCCTGTCTCCCACCATGAGTACACTGAACTTTCTGGGGCATTGGTTTCAGTCCATCTTTGTGCCTCTGTAAGAGATGACACAGTGAGTAGTTACAAAGAAATGAAACTTCTCAAAATTCTGGCGGCTGACAAAGTTCAAGACTGAGAGGCAAACATCTGGCAGGGAGCTCCTTGCTCAGGCCTCTTCTCATGGGGAAAGGTTTAAGAGCAGAATCCATCCTGTGCAGATGAGTGAGAGGAAACAAAAGGAGGGAGCTAACCTCATGGTTTTGAGTACCCCACTGTGATGATAACAAAATGGATATGTTTAGTTACCCCCATGGCCTTCCCTCCCGTCCCAACACTCTAGGGATCAGATTTGCAACACTTGAGCTCTGTGGACAACCACAGGACATCAGTGTTGAGGTAACTTCTGGTGACTAGTGACTCCTTCTATGTCATCCTTGCCCTGATGGCTCCTCATCTTCACCCTGGTCCTCACTGGATCCTCTGAGCCCTACTTGCCATCTAGAGCCAAACTGTGGCTTAAAGCTTCTGTGCCACTGAGCCTCTGTATCCCCGCCTACCTCCTACTGCTCTGACAGCTGTTGGGTTCAGAAATTGCTGCACAAGGCATACGAACACTGATCTCAGTGAAGCAAGAATCGTTTATTGAACTCATCACAAGAATGGTCAATCAGGACCACAAAAAAAAAAAAAAAAAAAAAAAGACTTGGCAGCCAAACTGCGGTGCCTGTCTGTTCTCGGAGTAGGCTTTTTTATAGGAAAAAAACAGGTTCAGAAAGCAAGGGTGGAGGCAGTACTACATTTTGGCTAAGTAGACAAGGCATTTTCAGCTAAATTTTAAGCTGATTGGCCCCGAGTGAGGTAAGAGGGATGGTGGACAGGTGGCGAACAGGGGAGTTTCAGGGCACTGAGTTAATGGCATAAAGTAATACAACCATAGTGTTACGACCTTCTAGGAAAAACTCTCAGTGTCCACTGTAAGATAATTACTTGTGGTAAGTGGAGTCTGAGAACCTCAACTTAATTTCACCTTATGACCAAAAAGGAGACTGAATACAAAATGGCTACAGTTATGTTAAAAGGAGCAGGCCTCAACAGCAGCCAGCAGCCAGGAAACTGTGACCTCTTAGCTACTTTCTCTGTTCCCCATTGAAATATGTGGAAACTTCTAACCCTGGGATCGTTCTAGAACCAAGAGGGACTGCAGAGAAGAGGTAGGATGGGGGCTATAGCTTTCTCTGCCTAAATACACTTCGGTTGTTGTCAGTGTTCTGCACTGCAGACACTGCACACTGAGCGATCTCTTCAAGCTTGGAACGAAGTGAAGGTGGCATAGGCCCATTCTCTCCTCTGCTGGTTGTGTTTTTGCTTTGGTTTGCTTTTAGACAGGATCTCACTCTGTAGCTCAGGCTGGCCTAGAACTCACTATATCACTGAAGGTACCCTTGACTTGATCCCACCTCCACCTTTCCTGACTGATGGGCATTTTGCTTGATTCTCTGTCCTCATATGGGAACCATAATACGTTAAGGACAGAGCTTCCTTAGTTTCATTCAGCACCATGTTCCCAGCAGCTAACGTACAGTAGATGCTTCATGACTCAGCATGAGAGCTTCGAAAGCCACTGGGTGCATTCTCTTCTTAGTACGTCCATTCCGTATAACCCTATTCTGGGATGACCTTGAGAACCAGTAAGACCAGGTGGTCCATATTCTGCAGAAGAAGAGACCTTCTCTTTCCAGGACATGATTAAATCAGTTATGGAATAGCCCATTCTGGGGACGATTACACAGCAGATGGATTAAAGCTAAGTCTATACATGTTCACATACTCCACCTTCTACCTGGGTTCCAGGTATTTAACCAGGCTTGCTCAGTAAATGCCTTTACCTTCTGGTCTGTCTCACAGCCAAAGGCCCAAGACTTACACTTTGCTGCTTCTGTATTTTGAACTTTTGCCCTGAAAGAGCATGGGGCTCCTCCTAACTCTGGTCTCCCCTGGCTCTGGAACCCTCATCAGACACTTCTGAGATTCTCCCTGCTAGGAAAGGGCTTCCTTCTAACAGCTTTGTTCTTGCCATTATCGTTTCAAACTTTTCCTTTTTCTTTTTTCTTTTTCTTTTTGTAGAGTAACCAGGGAACATTCGAGCCGCTCTTGTTCACTAGTCAATTTTCCAAAGACTTCCATGTGTTCCTGATTAGCCTGCTTAACTTTTCTCTAAATATTTTTTAACAGTCCAATTAGACAACAGAATAAACGTCTTACACTTAAAGCTCAAGTTTCAGAAAAGAAAATAAAGTGCTATCTGTGTCGTAGAAAACAGCCCGCTGACAGCTGTAATAGTATCTTTGGCGTCCTCAGCACCGACTCAGAAGCTATTTCTTTTATCACACAATGTGCTGATACCAAGGAGCTTTATCTAAGAGTCACTTTAAACACCAGCTTCTTTCTTTGATCTTGTGTTTCTGCTGAGATCCAAAGAGCTTCCTACTGTTTCCTTAGATAAATCAATAATATTTAATCCAATCAGAAAATACAAGCCCAGAGACTCTGAAGCTGAGTGCTGTAGATTCTAAGTACACTCAATGAACCTTTCTTTTTGCAGATGCAAGTATTGGCACTATGATGAAAACCTGCTTACTTCGAGCGTGGTCATTGTCTTCCATAATGAAGGATGGTCAACCCTCATGAGGACAGTCCACAGTGTCATCAAAAGGACACCAAGGAAGTATTTAGCAGAAATTGTGTTAATTGATGACTTCAGCAATAAAGGTAATGGCTATAGACTTGACATCTTGGCTAGAAAATAAATGACTGGATCATAAGAAATTATTAAAATGTGTTGTCAAAATACATTTTTTAAATGAAGGTTATCTACTGATACATTACTATGTTGTCACTGTGCCAGGCACTGAATATGAATCATTTTGTTTAATCCTAGCAATAACCTTTAAAATACAATAATTATCTGTTTATCTGTTTATACAGGAGACTCAGAGAACCCATATGACTTACCATCATGCAGAGGCAGTAATTAACTGTTAGATCCAAATCCATGAGTTCAAGACTTTCTTCTGATACTGTACCAACTCTGTGGGGCTCAAGTTTCACAAAAAATGTGTTACAGGAATAACTTACTGAAAGACTGAAAAGCAGAATCGTGTATATTTTGCAGTGTCACTCAAAGCTCCAGCCATAGTTTTCAAACTGAGATCCACGTACCAATCCCACAGCCTTCAGTTTGCACTTGAACAATGATGCAAATACTAACTTTGCCCTGATAATGCAAGTGTATTTTTTGCCTTCCACTTGCTGTGACTAAATACCAGACAAAAGCAACTTAAGGGGAATGGGGGGGTTATTTGGCTCACAGTTTGAGGGTTCGTTGAGTGCACATCGAGAAAGGGGAGAGATAAATGTCGATATTCAGTTCATGTTCTTCTTTTCTTTGGGCAAGGACCCAAGTCTGTGTGATGATGCCTCCAGCATTTGAAAGCTAGATCCTGCCAGGTCATCCTATTCACCATCATACTGGTCATACTGAGCTACTTCCTAAGAACACATCTTCTGCAGCTCATTATATTCTCTGTTTGATTTAAAATATTAAATAAAAATAAATTATGAGTTGGGTAAGGGTATGTGTGGGAACTTCTGTACCCCAGGCTAGCCTTGACCTCTTTGCGTAGGTTGGCATAACCTTACATTCTTGAATTCCTGACCTTCCTGCCTCTGCCTCCCAGGCACTGTGACCAGAGGCTCAGTCCTCGTTCTTTGAAAGGAGACCATTACAGTATTTAGGCAAATGTTAGGTCGTCTTGGTTCAACATGGCAAGAGAGGGATCAGATGGTAACTTTCTAGAAAAGTAACTTTTTATAGCTAAAAAGTTGAGTCATTTCTTTCAGTATGTTATTGTAAGCTAAATATAAATTCTTAATTACAGAAATGTAAAAATAATGCTCTGGCCCCAGGTACTAAGTCAACATGCAAATGAAAATGGAATGTTGCTGTTTCGATGCAAATCTGCATATCTATCTGTCTATCTATCTATCTATATATATATATATATATATATATATATATATATATATATATCTTG